ACCATCTTGGTATTTATACATAGCTTTATGGCCTTTGGTGGAGGATGTTCATTGCCGACACTCCATAAATGCTTGTTGGCTGATTTATTTCCTAGTTATATGGGTTTGAACCCCAGAGTGGCTGCAATAAAGGTAACCCACTTATCTGGCACATTACTAATTTCAAAAATTAAAACAAAAATGATTTGCTTCTTGAGGGGAGGTAGAAAAGATGAAAAAATTAGACAAATATGTGGAGCCTGCTCATTTTTAAAAATGTATATCATGAAGGATTGAACTCTAAATTTCTGAATTATGCCCTAAGCTCTCTTTCTCCAGGCTTTGAAAAGATCTCACTTGTTTTGGGCCATGTGAGATCCTTAACTATCACCACAGACATGCAAGTAATTAATATTTGAAAGGAAATAGAGAAAGCTTGTGCTTCTGTTTTTATTGCTTCTTTTTGTGTGTTTTTACTATAGCCATGCATATAATAAGCAAAAAATATTGTGTAATCAAAATGTTCCAGTAACAAATTCATATGAGGGCACTGTATTCATAAAGAAAATTTGCTTTAATTGAACTAATTTTTTTTGAAAATGTCTTTAAACAGTTCCCACGGGAGCAGTGCTGTAATCATGAGAAAAGTTCGTTTCTTTTCAGTGTTCATTTCAGGCTGTGTCTGCCTGTTCTCAGTGAAGTGCAGAATTGAGACTTAAGTCAAAAATTTTAATGTAAAGTATATTTTTGGTTATTTATGTTTTTACCCATATAAATCATATTTGAATTAATGAAGATTACATACTCCCATGATGATTTATTATGTAATATGTCAGAATGTGTATTGTAGTGGGATAAAAGTGGGCATTGGGATCCAACTGACCCAAGGTTGAACAGAGGATCCACTGTTTCCTAGCTTTTTGCATTTCAATTAGTTAATCTAAAAGTGAGATTTTTGTGAGGGTTAGAGGTAATTCTTGGAACTGCCTAGCATAACACTTGGCATAGACACTCTAAATCTGTTAGAACAGACACATTTATGGGGGCGGGGTGGTGGTGACATGGGAACACATTACTTGGTGTATTCACTCACTTCCCCTTTTCCCCAGATCTAGGGTGCCTTAGCCCTTGTAAGGATGTGCCCCCCTTTTCAGGACAATCCTTGATCAATCATGTCCTAGCATAAGCAATGCCTCCTCCATGGATGGAATGCTGCCTTCTTCCTCTGGCCTGAGTCTCATACCCTTTGCCTCTTCTTTCTCTTCTATCAGGACTTCAGGCCTGAGAGTGGTGCATCTCCCAACCCCTTTGCATCCAGGCAAGCTATGTGTAAAGAAGTTTTGCCGTTAAAGGACTTTTTTGGAAAACCATATAGTGAAGTAGAATAAATGCTAAATATTGAGTCACGAGATGTCTCAATTCAATATTTAGCTCTTTTTCTACTTTGCTATATATCACGAACGATGTGACATTAGGCAAATCAGCCTGTTTCTCTGGACCTTGTTTCCTCTTCTGTAAAATGAAGGGTTAAGTTGGATAGAGTCATTGAACAGAATCAGTGTATTAGTACCGAATGCTACTGCAGGCATGTTAGTATTACAGTATTATCAGCAAGAACTGGAGCTCTCGGTGTGCAACCAACAATTCTACCCATCCTCTATAGACTGATGTGATGCAAAGAATGTGGGCTTTTGAGTAAGAGGAACTCTGTTCAACTATCCTTGTTACTAGAATCTAACAAACAAATGCAAACTCTGTGACAAATGCTAGGTAGGTCCTTAAGCTTCAAATAAAATGTTCTTCTCTTTAAAAATGTAGAAGATATTACCTCCTTCATTGGGTTGTCATGAGGTTTGAATCAGATGTTTGTATAATGCTGGGACATAGAATCAGTTCTTGCTGGGGAGGCCTTTAAATCCAGTGCTGGTGCTCAGTTTTCATCTCACTCAACACTAGCAGCAGCATATGACACAGGTGATCACACTGTCCTCCTTGAAACACTTTATTTGTATTCTCAGACCTCTCTTGCCTATCTCCTGGACGTCTCCTTCTTAGTGTCGTTTGCTGGATCCTCTCCATCTTCCTCAGCCTTAAACGAGGGCACACACCGGGCTTCTCTATCAACCTTCAGTACTAGATCATCTCATTCAGTCTCGTGGTTTTAAATGGCAGCTTTAAGATGATAATGACATTTATATCTCCAACAGACATCTCTTCTATGGAGTCCAGATTCGTATGTGCAGCTGCCCAGTTGACATCTCCATTTGGATGAATAATAGGCATGTTAAACTCAACATGTCCCAAACTGAACTTTTCATCTCCATATCACCCCTTTCTTTGTAAATGACAAATCCACTCTTCAGTTGCTTAGGCCAAAAAACCTTGTAATTATCCTAATCTCCCTCATCAGTCTACTAATAAATCCTGTCTTCTTGGCTCTCCTACTTATCTGGAATCCAATTACAGGTTACCTCCCCTCTGCTGCCTTTCTAGCTCAAGCAACTGTCATCTTCCATCTCCACCATTGTAATACCGTTTAACAAATCTGTTTCCATTTTAACCCCTCTCCTCACAGCAGCCAGAAAGATCCTTCTGCAGCATAAGCATAGTATCATGTCAGTTGTCACAGATTGGGTTTCCCTGGAAACAGACTGAGGTAGAATTTAGAATGCAGAACATTTTAAAGGAGTGTCCTTGGGCTCAACATATGTGGAAGGGAGGAGAGGGTCTGGATTGGGCAGACTGAGATGTCAGGAGGTTATGCAGGCCCAATGACAGGCTTGGCCATCCATGTGTTGGACTTCAGAACTAGAATGGCCCTTCAGAGTTGCTTCAAGTTGGGCCAAGATGAACAGACCTTCATGCTCCCTCATCAATCAGTCATGGATGTGGTCTGTCCTATGAAGGGCACAACCTCAAACAAGGCATATCTCTGCAGCTGAGGCAGTCCCTGGAGGGACTGTAACACTCCCAGGCAACAGGGAGTATCTGAGCAGCACAACACAGGATCCGTAACTCCTCTACCCATTTCCCTCCAGCAGCTTCCCGTCTCACTCGGTATAAAACCCAGTCTTTATCATTTTTCTCTGCCCTCATCTCCTACCATTCTTCCCTTCACTCACCACCAAAGGCCACATTAGGCACCTGGAAGTTTCTTGAACCTCTCCTACTCCTACCTCCCACCAGTATATTCCTGTCTCAGCACTTGCTGTTTCTTCCACCTGCAAAGTTCTTCCCTCAGATATCTCAGGGCAGGCTCCTTCACTTTATTCAAGTCTCTGCTCAAATTTTGTTTCATCAGAGGGGCCTTCTCTCACTAACCTACAGCAAACAGCACACTGCCCTTTCACCCTGTTCCCTCATTTCACTTAATTTTTCTTTTTAGCACTTAAATCATGACCTCAGGTGTGTGTATGTGTGTGTTCTGTCCATCTACTACTTCCACTTGGATATAAACTGCATAAAAGACGAATTTTGTTTTTATTCACTGCCATATCCCCAGTGACTGTAACAGGGCCTGGCACATAGTAGATGCTCAATAAATATTTGTTAACTACAATTATTTTGGGAGACCAGTATTCCATAGTAAATAAGAGCTAAGGTATTGGACAGAAACAAACCTACGTATTATTTGTGGTTATAAACATATGAGTTGGGAAATGTAGGAAATGTTATTTGCTCCTAATGCATCTGAATTTTCTCAGTTCTAAAATGTAGATGATTATAATACTATATACATAATAGACGTGTAGTGAGATCTAATGGGATAATGTGTGTCAAACATCATGAAGCACCAGGTGGATAACACTGACGATCTAAAAATTGCTTATAAGCAGTGCCTAGCATGTAAGTGCTCAACAGTTAGTAGTTATTTTTTTTCATTTATGGTAAATATATGGAATGATTTGTGGTTAGAGTTGTTTTTGATGAACCTGTGATTGTTTAAATGATGCAAATAGATTTTTTAATTCATCAGTTTAGAGTGCCTTGTAGATAGCCTGGGCTGAAATAGCATTCTTTTCAATAGGGAGAAATTTGGTCTATTTTAATTTTACATTAGAGAGTTTCAACCCAACAAAAATTTTAATATGTGGTGTTGGAGAATGATTTCATTAAATGCAATATTAGGAAAGGGAAATTCCAAAGGAATCTTGTGATTTCTTTTGCAGAAAAAAAATCATCCTTTTGCAATCAGAATCATCATCCTATAATTTGTCTTTTGCAAATGTGGATGTATGCATACTTGATTTTATGAAACTCTGTGGAAGGACTTGCTGCAATGCTTCTCACAAACAGTGTGTGTATATATTTCCTGCATAAAAGGCTTCTTCAGCAGTTTTACTGAAGTTTCACCTACATTTTGGTAAAAATGTAGGAGGGAAGCCAGAAAATACATGTTTTAAGCTCTCGTCAATCTGCATACAGAAACAATTAAAAAAGTTAAAGGCAAAAATATCTTTGCAGATCTTATGTATTTCACGAATGTACAAAACAGTTTTTACCTAGTAAACGTTGCCCTGGGCAGTAACAGCAGAAAGATAAAGTCTGAAGGGCAAGAAGAGCAGTAGCTGACGGCCGGCTGCAGCCCCTGGGCCCGCCTGAAACGCGCGGGCGGGAGGGGCTCCGCGAGCTGGCAGGTCCGCGCGGTGCCCAGGGCGGCGCGGTGCTCAGGGCAGCCCGAGTCGCGCCCGGCAAGGGACACCGGCGAGCACAGGCAGTCACTGCTCTTCAGAGGGCTCGGGAATACCAGCCCTCTCTCCCAGGGAGCCCCACAGCTCACCATTCCGCGTGAACAGTACAGCGAATTTACAGCAGCGGTCAGAAACCCCCCAGCGGCTTCCTTACACCTGCGGGGAGGACGCCGGCTCTCCGTCGACCACAGGGCACCCAATGGGCGCCCGTCTCTCAACGGCCAATCAACGTCGGCCTTACATTCCGCGCCGAGAGCCGGAAGTCCCGGCCTCCCGGGGGCAGCCGCGCGTGTCACCGGGCGCGCAGGGCACCCCGAGGCTGCACTTGCTACCTGAGCGCTGAGGGACCGGCAGGCCAGCCCTGTCCCGGGCGGGCTGGGTTCGCTTGCCTTGGTTCCTGGCCACTGCTCATGTAATGCACTCCCTGAACCAGGAGATTAGGGCTTTCTCCCGGGATAACCTCAGGAAGCAATGCACCAGGGTGACGACGCTCACTGGGAAGAGGCTCATAGAGACGTGGAAGGGCGCCAGGCTTCACGTGGAAGAGGCGGCGCCGAGCGGCGGCGCGGGCGGCTACGTGCAGGATCTCAGCTCGGACCTGCACGTGGGCGTGGTTAGGCCCTGGTTGCTCCTGGGTGAGTGCGTCGATTTGTCGTTGCGTCCTTTGATCACATGGCTTTATCATTATTTCCCTCAATATGCAGTAGTTTGTCCTATCAGCTGTCCCCCCGAAAACTGACCATGTTTCCTTTTGTGGACCCGGACTTCCATCGGCCAGCGGAGATGTCCTGCCCCGCAGTCTAACCCTAGGAAGTGTCGATTGGGGAGCCTATAGCGGCTGGTCTTTGAATTTTAGAAAAGCTTTCTTCCTGTTTTTCTAACTTCTCTGGAGAATAACACATTAATGTAGTGTTTTCTTTGATTATAAGAGTACAGCTTTTAAAAATAAAATAAAAAGAATACTTTTATTTGGAAAAACTTGAAGTTTCCACGTAGAGTTATGGAAAAGTTAGTGCTTGGAACAGTGCAGGGCTTGTCTGCCTGCCCGGCTGTTACAGACCCCGAGGCATGCAGGCCCCGAGACGCGTCTGCCCGCGGTGGCCCTTGACAGGGCGTTAGGGAAAAGGTGGACTTGATTTCATAGCTGTAAGTCTGATGGTTTTATGACTTTTTATATTATGGAAAATGCTGATTTTCTTCTATACAAAGATTGGTCCACAAATAGCAAACGAAGCACAGTTATAAGAGTATAAACTTGTCAGCTTAGCAAGAATATGGCACAGTAGTGTTTAAAAAATAGTCAACAATGTTTTCAGGTCGGTTTGAATTATTTTTCATTTTTGAACAGAGAAATGAAGACTTGGAAAGATTAATAATTTGTCAATATTCACACGGCCAAGCTATTCTTGAGTAAAAGCACTGGACTGGGAGTCAGAAATAGCCAGATACATGCAGCATCTCACTCCTTTTAAAAACTCTGTGAAGTAGGGGTTATCAGCTCCACTCTACAGATGGGAACTGGACTTAAGATTGGTTAGGCGACTCGCACAAGGTTAACACACCTAGTATGTAACAGCTGGACATCAAGCTTAAGTCCGATTGCCTCCTGCTCTCCGTGGATACATAGACTGTCTCAGGGAATCTGGTTTTTAGCCCTGATGTGCCTCTAACTTACTAGATGAGTTAGTGCAAGTCATTTACCCTCTCTGGCCCTCTTAAAAGCTGTATGTAAAGCTGAAGTAACAGTATCTTCTTATCTCATAGGGTTGTTCTGAGGTTGTTGTAAAAGGGATTTTGTGGTGTGTGTGGATATATGTGTGTGTGTGAAAGATTTTTGAAACAAATCAATTGCAGTATACATATGAGTTGTTATTGTATTGTGTATTATGTGAATTATTACATGAACTATCTTTAAGTTCACCAAGTAAATTTCTCCAGCTAGTTTCTACAGCCCAGTGAAAAATTAAATGGATCATCTAGCTAGTCTGGGAAGTTCACCCAGGACTTGTACACCATTTCTAGGAAAGGAAATATATCCAGGCACATTTTTCAGTTATTTGGCTTCCATTGTAGTAATAATGGTTTAAAATTATTGTAAAGCCCGTCTGGGCGTGGCTCAGCGGTTGAGCATCAAGCTAGGATATAGGAGATGGCTGTTTGATTCCCTGTCAGGGCATATGCCTGGGTTGTGGGCTCCATCCCCAGTTGGGGGTGTGCAGGAGGCAGCCCATCAATGATGTTGATGTTTCAATTCTCTCTCTCCCTCTCCCTTCCTCTCTCTGAAATCAATAAAAATATATTTAAAAAATAAAAATAAAATAATTGTAGAATTTTAAACTTTGCTTATTATTATATTTTATCTGGGCTTATCCAAACTGAGCTGATCAAGGTAATGTTCTCATATTGGCACTGGAAACCTTCCCAGGATCCTAGGAGAGATCTGGAGGAGCTTGTGAAACTGGTCCTTATTTGGTCCCCTTTCTGGACCAGGAAATGGGATATTTTCATCAGGCATAACCTCCTTTCTTCTGAGAGGTAGATGGACCTTTTTCTGTCTAGTTACAAGTGCCTTATTCCTAAGGGACCCTTGGATGGTTACATCTAAAGTTCTTCCACATGAATGATGCAGGGGTTGTTTCTGATCAGACTAGGTTTCTTTTTTGGAGATGGGGGTTGTTTCAAGGTTGCTTCCAACAGCTTTTTTCACCTCTTCAAAGCATAACTCCAACCCAGTACTACATGCCAATTAACTTTTGTTTTTGGTGGAGAATAAAGAAAATGGAGAGCTAAATATAATAAATATATTTATATAAAATATAATCTGTCATTTTAAAATATAAATTTAAAATATATTCTGTCTTTTAAAAATATATTGTCTTTTTCAGTTAGTTCATTAATTCAAACAAGCTTCTGCCTTTCAAAAATCTTACATAGGCCCTTGAACTATCTAACAGGTTGCTAAAAGACCTTAATGAGAATTTTTGTCCTATGCTTTCCAAATTATATTTTTATAACAAAAATCACTAGGGCTTTTCTTCATTCGAACTTCATTTGTAAAAGTAGAAAATCCTGCCCTGGCCAGTGTGGCTCAGTAGGTTGGGTATTGTCCTGCACCAAAGAGTCACCGGTTCAGTTCCCAGTCAGGGCACATGCCCAGGTTGCTGGTGTGGGAGGCAACTGATCATCTCTCACATCGATGTTTCTTCTCTCTCTTTTCCTCTCTCTAAAATCAATAAAAACATTTTTTTAAAAAAGGTAGAAAATTTTATTTTTCTAGGGTAGGTTATATGTATTCTTAAGAAGACACAGCTGGTGACATTTTGAGATCTCTTTAATTCTAGATGAAAAGCTTGGGATCCTTTATAAGATTATAGAGGATGCCTAAGATCTAGGAAGCCCAGTATTCTTGGGGGCAGATAATACAGTAAATTTTTATAGTTCTTTATTTTGTAAAATTCTTTCACAAATATCATTACCTTATCCTATTAACTTATACCTACTATTTATGAATATCCACTCCTATCAATTTTCTCAAATAAAACATTTCTCTTTGGAATACCATTTATTTTTCTTTTCAGTAATGTAATAATGTCTTTTTGGTTTGTTTTTGTGATGGTGAAAAGTGATTTGTAAGTTAGGATATGCTACGTCAGAATTTATACAATATTTGGTATTTTCATTTAAAAAGATCTCTTAAAAAATAGAAACAGGATTCTGGAGATCTTATGTAGCCTGTTTTTTATGGTACATATATTGTGATTGCAGAATATTGAACTTGTTCGAAGTCTCAACTGTAATAATAGCATGTAATATATAGAGGAATGGGCAAAAGTAGGTTACACTTGTGAGTATGCGAAACAGAGTTTATTCTTGTATTATTATTTATTATTTATTTGTGTCACAACTGTAAACCTACTTTTGTCCACCCTTGTCTTGTTTCAAAATCAGTTATCTCATCAGTTTCCTACTAAAACTTGGCCAAGATAATGAATATTAGTAATTTTTGTCAATGTACAATATAACTATAAATTATTATTATTAGAACTATTTGCTTAGTTCTATTACTATTCATCATCTTTTTATTATTTTAAAAAATCATCATATAGTAAAATTGACTTAGTATTCAGTTCTATGAATTTTAGCACATGTAGTCACCATTAAAATCATCAAATTCTTAAAATTGATATTTTTAAAAATCTTGATTGAGATAGTTTATAAAAAGAGAGCATACTATTTCAAAACAAAGGTTTTAATAACATCATAATATATGATTTAGTGTTTATTTCTTTTAATGATAAATATTTTGCCAATACAAATTTAATATAAGACTGCAATACAAAGCAGCCATTTAAAATGGGAAGAAAACTGATATTTAATCTAGAATTTAGAGAGAATTAACCTGAATCGAATACTACTAAGTATTAGATGATGCACACAAGCCGATTACCTGAAGTCCATTTGTATTGACTAAAATTTTCCTCCCATATTATTGACGCTCATATAATTTTCTTATTGTTTGAAAAGACAGAGCATACAAGTTGCATTTTTTTGTGTGTGTGTCTCAAAAATACTAAGTTTGTATCAACATACTCATAGTCTGGAAGTCACTTTCAAAATATGGCAGACAACTCTGAAATGTAATAGACAAGCTCCTTTTGTGTGTGTGTGTGTGTGTGTGTGTGTGTGTGTGTGTGTGTGTTTAATGGAAATGATCCAAGTATCCAGTTTTGATAAATATAATAATGGCAGTTTAGGATTAAAAAGAATTTCATTCATGCATGTTTCTTTTTTTTTTAAGGACTAGTCAAAGTAGAATTATTATTTAAAAGATGAATACATGTTAAACCACTAAATTTCAATTAATTTTTTTTATCCCATTTCCCCCCTCTGGAGATAGTAAGGACTTCTGATAGAGAACTGAGAAAATTTTTTAAATTATGGAGCATTTCAAATGCATAGAAAATTCCAGGCAGTGCTATAACAAACAATTATCCGCCATTCTGCTTTAACAAATGTTAATATTTTGATAAGCTAACTTTTAAGCAAAATAAAGTTGAATGTAAGCTCAGTGAGGAGCCTGTGAGCTTTGTATTACCAAGAGAATATTGACCAACCAGCACACTGACTGGCCTTTCAGCTGCCTAAAGTCATGTCATAAAATCTGGCAGATTTCCCAGATAGGTAACAAAAACATTGTTTATGGAAATAAAACATAATTCAGGAAAGTAAATTACTTGAATAAAAAATATTCTATTTTTTCAATTGTATAATTCATTATGTGTTAACTAGTTATTTACTTGTAAGAACTTGCTTTTTAACTATAGTCATTTTCCAAGTGTGGGAAATCTGGAAAGCCAGCTTTGACAGGAAGAATCTGTAAAAGGGTGCAGCCCTCGTGGTGCACAGAATGTGGGTGAATTCTATAGACCAACAGTGTTTACTTTAATCTTCTGGCTGTTCCCAAACCAGTTGATACTAAATCTTTTTAAAGATATTCTTTTTTAAGTTTCAAAACAAATAGTTATTTATTGTAAAAAATACAAATGAGCACAGAGAAGAAAAAAAGTCACCTTGTAATTCCACTGTTAACATTTTCTTTTATAGACTTCCTGTCTATTTTAAGTATGCACATTTTTTTCTTACTACAGAAATGGATGATAGTATTTTGTAACCTGCTTTTATCACCCAACCCCTATTATTGGGCTTTTTTTTTTTTTTTTTTTAACAAGAAAAAAAGAACCTATAACTGAGTGGTTTGTTTTATTTTTGTGGTATTATAAATAATACTATGATGAACATCCTGAGAGCTGGTCTTTGAAACATCCAGAACTTTTAGGAGAAATTCCTAGAAGTGGGATATCACAGTCTAAGAGTATATACAAGATGAATATTTTCGTAATTATCACCAGATTGTCTTCCAGAAAGTTGGAATGAGGTTCTCCCAAGTTGTATTTTTTAAAATAAATGAATAACTAACAGAATTGTTGCAAAAATTGGATAAAAATCAGGATGATTATTTTCATGTTCAAGGTGATATGATTTATTTCTTATAGGGTCACAAGATGCTGCTCATGATATGGATACACTGAAAAAGCACAAGGTAAAAAAAAAAATGTTTCAGGTCTGGAACCATGTATAGAAGGTATTTTAAATGTTACATTTATTTAGGAAAAACTATTTTGGTCCATTTCAGAGTTTAATTGGTAACATTTTTGGCTATCATTCTAATAAGTTGCAAAAATTATTACACCTAATTCAAATATATGGATTGTAATCTATATTTCCAGTTTTGTATTCTCTCAGTGTTCCTTCACGTACCCTTATGAACCTCACTTTGGAAATACATCTTCTTGCCTCTGTTTATATAGTTCCTCAGTGTGGGATAGATTTTCCCCTCTTCTTGTCCAAGACCTACCCAGTCCTTGAGTCCCCCAACTCATACACCACTTCTGCCCCAATGCCATTTCTCCTCCCCTCCCCTATACAACTGATGTGATTTATTACTTATTTCAGTATTTACGCAGACAAAATTTTCTAGCCACTTACTATTTTGTGAAGCACTGTTTCAGGGTCATGGAATTGCTACAGTTTGAGGAATGCAAGAGGCTCTTTTTCACGTGATGCTTATGATTGAGGGGAAGGGACGGCAGAAAGACAAATAAGCAGCTATGGTATAGTGCATTGTGCATTGATGGGGAAGTGCAGGTTGCCACTGGAGTGCATAGGAGACAGTGCCCTTAACCCATATTTGTTTGGGTTGGGTTGGGTTGGGTTTAGATGCAGGAAAGATGGAATTATCCCTGCAGGAAGTGAAGTTGAAGTTTTGCTCTGAAAGGGTATGGGGAGGGAGCAGACAGAAAAGTGGATGGGGAGGGAGCAGATAGAAGAAATGGTTTGTGTGAGGACCCATAGGCAAGGGAAAGGGTGATGTTTCAGGCATAGAAAAGAAGTTCAGTAACCCTGAAATAGAGAATGTGGGAAAGAAGGGTACCAAGAGACAAGGCCAGAGGTAAGTGTGAGCCAGATCAAAAGTCCATGTAAGCCAGAGTAAATTGTTTGGACTTGGTCCAAAAGACAGTGGAAAGCCACTGAAAGGTTTTACCTGGGGATCAAATTTGCATTTTAGAAAGACTATATTCATTAGAGGCAGTGTGGAAAATAGACCAGCGGGCTCTGCAGGCTAGTTATAAGGCTGTTGGAATAATCTAAAAAAAAAAAAAAAATGATGGTGGCTTAGATTAGGATTCAGCAGTGAGGGTAGAGAGAAGTTGATGGATTTGAGTTTCTTTTTAAAGAGACTCATAATTTAACCATTAACCTACAGGTCAGGGTTGGGAGGAGGGTCAGATTGAGGGAAGGAGTCAAAACTGATATCCCAGCTTTCTAGGGTAACTAAATAGGGTTGATGCTATTCCATGAGATGGGAGGAACAGGTTTTGGAGGAAAACAATGAGCCCAGTTTTGAACATTTTAAATTTCAGATGCTATGGATAACCTGGGTTAAGTTATTCAGTAGACAGTGTTGATATTTGTGGTCTGAAGTTCAGGTGAGAGGTAAAAATATAGCTTGAGGAACCTTCAGGGTATAAGCAGTGATTGGAATCATTGGAGTAGATAAAGTCACCCGGGAAAAGGTATGAAGTGAACAGAGAAGAAGGCCTACAACAGAACCCCAGGTGATACCAAACCATAATGGTCAGGAAGAAGAATTTGCAGACAGAAAGTTGGAGTTAAGAGGTCATAGGAAAGTAAAAAATGTATGATGTCATGGGAGCCAAAGAAGGCGAGTGTTTTAAGGAGGAGTCAGCAGAGTCAAATGCAGCAAGAAGTTTAAGCACAATTAGCACTAAATGGATCTAGTGCTTAGTTGGATTTTGCAACGAAGAAGTTGTTAGTGATTTTGGTGGGAACAGTTTCATTTGAATTGGACACTAAAACCAGATTTCGGGTGATTGAGAAATGGACGAAATGATGGCAGACAAAACAAGCAAGCAAACAAAAAAAACCAAAAAATAGAAGGAACGAGAACAGGAACAGCCAAGGGAGGGAGATGGGCGAGTTTTGAGCATGTTTTAGAGCTGATAGCAGAGGAAGGCATTAAAAATAGAGCAAGAATTGTGGCTAGAGGGATGTGCCAAGAAAGTAGTAGGCTGTTTCCCCCCAAACACGGGTTCCAAAATGAGCCTTAGAAAGGATGCAGGAGCACATCATCCACTGTAGTAAGAAGGCAGAAGGAACAGGCTGGGAAAGGTGTAGACAAGGTTGTTAAATTTGATGGTAAATGTGAGGGTTCCTATGTGATGGCTTCTCTTTTTACTGTGAAGTAGTAAGTGAAGTGATCTGGAGGAAGGAAGAGAGAGGGTTGAAAGTTATTAGGAGAGTGGGGAAGGTTTGGAAGAGTTGATATGGAGACTGAGGGAGAGGGCCTACTAGGGAAATATAGTTGCTAACCACTGCTGAGGGCCAAGAAAGGTTGGCTCTCAAATTTATGATCTGCAGTATTGTGCCACTCACTTTTCTCCCTAATGCTTAACAGTCTGGTGTACAGCCAGCTTGTACCAGACAGATGCACGGGAGGTGGGCCGTGGACTATAAGCTAAATAGAAAAGGAATTAAAGGCAAGAGGGGGCTGATGGGTAAAAAGAAACAGAACCATCAAGGAGTTGATGTTTCTTGTGAGGTCTAGTGGAAGTAACTGAATGAAAGAGCTGGAAAGGTGAGAGTGGGAGGTTTGAATTTATTATATCAGACTTGGAGCACTTTTGGGTGTTGGCCTTGAAGGAGTGTGATTGGAGTGGAGTGATGAGGAAAGTCCCTGGAGATAAGGTAATCAGGAAACTGTTAAACCCAAGTGGAAACTGATGTCACGCAGGATAATGGTGGGACTTGGAACAGGACTCAGCCAACTGACAGGTGCCCCCAAAATACAATCAGTTTGTATAAACCTCAGAGAGCAAGGATTTTTCCTGGAGGGTGGAACAGAAGTGACTTGGAAGAGGCAGGGAGTATCCAAAAGAAGGCAACCCTGCCTCTCACCCATGCGGTAAATGAGTGCTAGGCCCCTCTCTAGGTTGAGGAGATACAGAAATGAACATGGAGTAAGATCCTTGCTCTTAAAATAAGATATTTTGAGATGAGAATGCATTCTCTGAAAGAATTCAAAGGAGGCAATGCAAGGAGTTGGGGGGCTGCCACATGAGTCAGGGTCGGCCTTTTTGAGGGTATTACTTTTCAACTGAGACCTTACGACAGAGTCAGCCATGCTTAGATCAGGACAAGAGGACTTCAGGCTGAGAGAACAGCAAATGTGAAGACTTATGGGGGCAGGGGCAGCAAGTTCAGTAACCTCTTCCTCTGGTCCCATAACACTTTGTTCTCCTACAGCCCTTCACACTTCTTTGTATTATCCTCAGTAAACATGTTTTTCCCTTCTCTATTATTCAGCAAACTTCTAGACAATAGAGACCTTGTCCTACTTATCGTTGTTGCCCACAGCTCTGAGAAAAAAGTTTGATTGAACTGAGGCTAAACATTTTGTGATAAACATTTGCAATTAATTTCCCCAAAAAATAGCTACTAACCAGTTCATTAGCTAATCTGATACGTTTAGTTGTCAACTTACTTGTGCTTAAATTGGACTCCTCTTGTTATAACAATTCCTGTCTGACAATAAGAAATAATTTCTCAGAATAAAAATGAAAAATAGAAAAAAACCAATAAATTTGTTTGTTGGCAAGTAATGTTATGATTTATCCCCTCTTATGATACATACACTAGTTCAAATTCCATTTCATCTTGGTGATGTAGCTGTTTTAAAGATCCCTTCATCTCTGTGCACATGACCTGTTAAATGCCTGGAAGAAGCAGAGGTAAACTGAGTAGCTGAATAGAGGGCTTCTAGAAAAATTTAAGGATGCTGCAAAACAAAATTATTGGTTTAAATACATGGCACATTTCAAAGGGATGTCCTAGCATTTAAGTAAAATGCTGTAACTAGGAGAAATTTTCTTATGGAGTCTCACTTCAGAAATGTCTATAGGCATTTTATTTTAATATTTAGATATGGTCATAATGGTTGCTTTATTAATGAGGTGCACCTTGAGTGCCTGATGGGTGCCGGATGAAGTCCTGTGGGGGATAGAAAACTAAGTGTAACATAAAATGTTCCAAGTTATTTATTGCAGAATTGTTTATAATAGTAAATTATTGAAGACAAACCATGTGTCCGTCAATAGGGAATTGGTTACATGAACAACAGAATACCCACATCCTAGAATGCTATGTAGCTATAAAAGGAATGCAAAAAAGGGTCTCTAAAGACTGACATGAAGAGATCTCCAGGACGTATTTAAATGGGAGGGGGACCCCAAGGTGTCGTCTTTGTGTAAGAAAGGGAGTAAATAAAATATTTGCATAGAGATACTCTAATAGAATGTACAAGAAACCAACAAAGGGGGTTGTCATCAGTGTGGGAGATAATGGAATGGACAAGGGCAGGGCGAGAGCAAGAATTCTTAATGTTTCTTTTTTATAATGTTTTTATTTTTGAACTAGTTCAAAAACTAATATTTTATTAAAGTTGGAAATAATAATACCAAAATATGAGTATTAAGTGAGATAAATTGTATGCCTAGCACATAATAAATACTCAGTAAAGGGGCTATTCATATTATCCTTATTATAAAGGGCACCCCAAAGGCAGCCATGGTTAGGACCCCTGTAACTGCATTTTGGAAGTACAGTTGAGTACTAGAAGGGTTTTGGGCTGGGTCCCTATCACCACCACCACTTGTGACTCAGTACTGTTTTTTTCTTTCAAGACCATTCAAGCAATATACATATAAACTGCATTTCCAAACAGCTAAACTACCCAGGCACTGGGTAGTTTAATAATACACAATATTTGTAATGCACTTTAAAAACTATATTTTTATTGATTTTTAGAGAGAGAGGAGGGAGAGGGAGAGAAACTTACGCGAGAGCACATCGATAGGCTGCTCCCTGCACGCCCCCACCAGGCACTGAGCTTGCAACCTGGGCATATCCCCTGGCCCGGAATCAAACCAGCAACCCTTCAGCGCACAGGACGACACCCAAGCACCGGTCAGGGCTAGTAATGCACTTTACCTTTCAGTTCGTTTTCTCAAGATTCTCATTTGGTCTTCTCCATATCTGTGATATATAGGGAAGAAATACAGATGATATATATATTCTGGAAGTGGTCAGAACTCATCCTTGGTCTTTTGGGAATATAGAATATAGTTGTGAAGACGAAGCAAACACATCAGTATTATAAAACATTGGAGGATGTTATGTAATTAAGGGCAGAATCATATAATCCTGGCCAGAAGGACACTGGGAATGAGAGAGTGACTTGACATAGATAAGACTTCACTGGGGAAAGCAGAAGGACATTTCAGACTTTATCTTCTAAAAATGCCCTTCCTTCTTTCTAGCTTCTCCCTTCCCTTCTCTATTTAAGAGTCTCTCTGGAGTAGACATTTGAGGTCCTTTCTGTTATCTTTCTTCCACAAGGCAGCAAAGTTAGTAAATGGCCTGTGGTTCTGTCTTATGAGGCCTAGCTTCCTGATTGTCTTAATATTCTTTTGGTTGTGAAAGACAGGCACCTAAGCAAGGGACCAGAATGTGTAGGATGACTTAGGGGGGTCTCTGGAACCCAAGGGCAGAGCATGGCCATGCCAGAGAATGGAGGCCATCTCGATAGCCCCTCTCTCCACTGGCCTTGTGGCCGCTCTCTGTACACCTACTCTGTTCTTCTCCTTTGGGATGAGGAATCTTTCAGCTTCTCCCAGCACTTAAGTGAAAATGGCTGTGTGTCTTAAAGCTCTCACATTTGTGTATCATTCTAGCTGTCTTTGACACCTATTTAAAAAAAAATTCTGAAGTGAATCTGGTCAACCTAGCTTCAGTCAAATGCCCACTTGAATCTAGTCGGCTGTGCTGGAGGGAGCGTGGGCACTGCCAGAGCCATACCTGTGAGGGTCGTGGGGGCCAGAGGGGCGGTGCTGCACAGGTACTCTACAATATGTGTGAAATACACGAAAATACTGCGATTAGGCAAAAACCTCTGACGCAGAAAGAACCCTCCCCCCCAAAAAAACCACAATAAAACTAAGACATGTGCTAAGAGAGAATAAATGGAGTGAGAAGCATGACAAGAGAGACTCATTTTTCTTGTCTGTGTGGCCTTTGGGTTCTCTTGAGGGACTTTCCGTGGCTCCTTCCATATGCTTGCAGGCTCTAGGAAAGGGGCTTGAATGCATACACGGGGCAGAAGGTTGCTTATGTGTGCCACTTGAAAGTCTTTCATGACCGTGCCGTCTTTCACTCGCACTAATTCATCAGAACCTCTGGGGTTAAGGCCCGGTGGCGTTGATATTTTTGCAAAGCTCACCGGGTGATTCTAATGTGCAGTCATGCTGGAGAACCATGTACTTACAAGGAGGAAATCATTATTGAAAGGGAAGTTTGTGCTGCTGATACACTCCCCTTACTTAAGTTTTTTATATGGACATTCACTGACTTATTCAACAGATATTTTAAGTACTTCTGGGCCAGGGTCACTGTTCATTCACAGTGAATAAGTTAAACATGCTCACTACCCTCCTGGAGCTCCTGATACAGCAAAGGAGATCAAACAATCTCTAAGTGGTAAGGGCAGTAATAGGATAAGTAGAGGGTGCTATGGAAATGCCTAGAAATAGCGCCTCGGTGAGGGATGAGGCAGGTAGGTCAGGCTTTCCTGAGGAAGTACTATTCAAGTACGTCATGCTTAAATTGTTTATTCTTGTTACAGATCTCAACATCCCAGCCTCTCTTCGATGAACCTAGTTCATGAGAATTTTTAAAAATCATTTTTTTCCCCTCTCTTTAAGGTGACTCATATTCTCAATGTTGCATATGGAGTTGAAAATGCTTTCCTGAGTGACTTTACATATAAGAGCATTTCTATACTGGATCTGCCTGAAACCAATATCCTGTCTTATTTTCCAGAATGTTTTGAATTTATTGAACAAGCAAAAATGAAGGTAAGTTTTATTTTGATCCAAAGTTCTTCAGAAGCAGAAATTTTAAAATACAGGTCCATCATCTGATCTTTATTCTTTTTGTAATGAATATGTAGAGAACCATTATGAAATTTCCCCTCCAACAATATTTCATTAATTCCTACAACTATTTAGTTTTCTAATTGCTCTTTTCTCGATGAGATATTTATTTTTAAAATCAACCTCCCCTCCTCCTATGCTTGTGTATATATGTACTTAGACTTCCTTTGACAGTTTATAACCACCTGCCCACTGACCAATTTGCAATATAATCAAGTAAACTATGGGGTAGAGGTTGCTCTAGTCCAGTTAACAATGAACTTAGGAAGATTCATGTGCATTTAGTTTTGCAGCCGTGGTAGGCAGCGTGGATCTGTGCATTTTTAACAATAAAATTTTAGGGCTCTCTAAGGACTAAATTGGTATTGCTTTACTGTGGTTGTATGAAAATGCTGATAAGTAGCTGTCCATTGGGTCTCTGACTTTAGAAGACCAACTGACGGTATAAAATACTTCGATCTTGGTACTGTATCCAAGTCAACACGCTGACAGACCAGATTTCTAGTTTGGCTGTTACCTGTAACTATACCTTGAAATTACATCATTTTTAATCAGCATGTAATTCTTACAAACTTTATGTGAGATGAGTAGATGGGAATGTAGAAGCACTTACAGAGAAAGGTAACTCTCCAGGAACACCTAACACTTAATGACAGTTAACATTAGAATCAGGTTTAATTGAAATCTGTCTAATGATCTCCCTTCTGCCCTTTCTCCCTCTTTTTCTCCCTCCCCTCCCTTCCTTTCATTTAGTGATATTTATTGAGTGCTATATGTGCCCAGCACTGTTCTAGGTGCCTTCTCTAGATTACTCAGAAAATATAAAACTATTCAACCTTATTATTCCACTTTATTTAATAGCAGATATTTGGATGAAAGAAAAGAGACCTTCTAATTCAAACCTTAATTAATATTGGCCAGTCTGTTCTCCTGTGAAAAATACAATAGGCTCTAGATTGTAACATTCCAGGGTGCCAGTAATTAGTTTTTAAAATGAAAATGATAATGTCTCTGTATTAGCTGTTTCTCTAAGGAGATGCAGAATATGCCTTACGATGGTAAAGGGAAAGTGTAGACATCGTTCATAGTAATATTATAATTAGAAGATATGTCCATGTTGCAAGTCAGAAGTAGAAAGGGTAACAGTTAATTAAAATGGTCCTTTGCTTGGTTTCCTGGAAAACAGAACCTGAGACAAGTGTTAAGAGCTGGTACTTCATTTGAGAGGTGCAACCCCCAGGCAGTGAGAGTGAGAAGAGAGGGAAGTGGCGCAGGGAAGGATTGAGAAGCAACCTAAGACGATGAGTTTACCCTGCTGAGTACAGCTTCACAGTGAACTGACAGTGACATAGCTGGGTGCTCGGCAGGTACACCTGCTCTACCACTCGAAGCATCTCTGGGCAGGGAGTACAAAGAAACTTTAACACAGAATTTGGGAGGGAGGGAAGAGAGAGAATTTATCTACCTGGCTCTCTGTCAGTTCCTGTTTCCCACTGGTCAGTTTACCCGTGGGGAAATAACTAACCCCGCAATTCCAGGGTCCAACACCTGACTCCTTCTGCACTTACCTTGAAGGCAAACCCAGTGCCCTGTGGTATGATTTTCCATCCAAGGTCAGAAGCAGCAGGAGAATCCAGAACTCAGGGTGTCCCTCTCTCTGCAGAGGCTGCCACTGGGAAAGGGGGCCAGGCCTTTTCAGGCAAGCAAAACTCAACCAGCCTAGAAGGAACAGTTGGCTGCAGAGCTGATGGCTGAGGTGGAGCAAGTTTAGGGTCCATGAGATGATGGCACCAAGAGAATCTGAGGGGGAGCATAAAATGTTTCTGCTACAAGTTGTATTAGAATTCCACAGTATGTTCTAACTTCTCAAGCCTTACGTTTTACACTGGGATCCCAACCTCAGTCAGTATTTCCTTGCCCAGAAAACTCTTTGTTGTTTGGATTAATACATATTTATTTTTAGCAATAGAATTCTTGAATTGTCTTCATTCATTTTTTTTCTAGATGAGACCTCTTTTTGACTTTGTCTGTTGTATATGCAAGTGTTATGAAATCTGATCACCCAGTGAATTGCATGTTTCAAAGCAACCTTTGTAAGCCCTCGTTTGCTGGTTTTAGCTGCCAAATGGAGTGTCTTCCATTTTTCCGTGTCTTTCCTCATTTCTCTCTGTATTTATAAAACCCTGTTTGTTTCTCTGTCCTTCCTCTATCTCTGCTCATGCATTATTTGCCAGGTTTATGCCTAAAGGGACAGAAATACACATGAAAGGGAAGTAGTAAGGTAACCCCCATAGCCTCAAGAGGTCTCTTTAGAAAATTTATGTGTGAATTTTTCATGTGTGAAAGGGTTTGTTAGTATGAAAATATGTATTTGATATTCCATGTTTACTTTATTATGTATTTGATGTGATTTTTAAAACATGATGTTAGTAATCCATATCATTGTAGAAACATTGGAAAATACAGATAACTAAAAATTAAGATCACCCTATTCCCCAAATTTAGACATAATGATATATTTTCCTATATATCAAAAGACTCATTTACAAAAGACCTGAACTTGGCTCAGGTAATCTGTTAACAAATATTCATTAGTTATTCTCAGAAGATAAGAGTGATATATATTGCTGTCTTCAAGGAGTTTGCAATCTAGTTGACAAGCTATTAATAACAACACAAGAACAAAGAAAGCTTGATAAAATGGAAATACTGTAACCTAATTTACTGCCCACAGCAAAATGGTGATTTGAGTTTTTAAGAAATTGCTTTCTTCTCAGAATGCAGAACAAAATTATTTTCTTTGCTTAGCAAACATTTATGGAATATCTACTATGTGCCAAACATTGTACTAAGTTCTAAGCAAACAGAGATGGCTAAGATAGTTCCCTGCCCTCATCTCACTCAGAGCAGATGCCAGGGTTTGCTGGACCAAGAAGAGCAGAAGAGGCTTCCAGGCAGAGCATAACAGGAAGTGCAAAAGAAAAAAATTGATTTGTAAAATTTTTAATTGTCACTTCTTTGAATTCTGTAAAGGGGATATAAAGCCAATAATTTTTCTGTAAATACTTTCAAGGCCTGCATGATACCCAAGGAATAATAAAAGGTAAATAGGTAAATTCAATAGCTATGGAAACCAACAGAGAGGTAGCTGGTACATGAAGAATGTGAGAGAGAAGAAAACACTAACATTATTAAACCTTAGCTAAAACTGGCTGCACAGTGTATAAGACTGAAAGTAAAGCTGGTTTCATTTTCAAAGGCATAGGTATGGATCATAAAATAAAGATGACTAGTATATAGTCAGAAATATTAAAAATGACCTTGAAGGATATCTCTCATTAAGCTTTATGATTCTAAGTTTCTTTGAAATATAGGATTTGTTTTGAGTTAAAAGAAGTTCATTAATAGTTTTCATCAGTTATTGTATGTACTATGATTTTAAAGTGTCTTCAGTCTCATAAAAATGAACTATTGTATAAAGTGAGAAAAGTTTCATATATGTATAGTATTTGTGTTTTGCTTTTCTTGTACAGAAAGTCAATATCTGGAAATGACACACACACATATATATACACATACACATATATGCATATATATGTGAAAAAATTGAAATTGTCTTTTTGATATGAGGATTTTCAAAATATTAACTAATTTTGTTGTGTATCATTTAGATTTCTTGGAATGAGATGCACTTGCAAATTTGCTACAACAGATCTAGGAAAGGAATTTTGCAACAGATTTATGAATCTGAGAAAATTGCCTTGCAAAAGCAAAATAAGCCAGTGAGCTATAAACAGTATTGCTAATACAAGGTTTGGGTAGAGAGTTTTTAGTTCTAAGTTTTGTTTTTTCCCCCTTCTGCTGTTTCAATCTTTATTTTTTTATACTGTACCAAAAGAAGAATCAGGAAATGAAGTAACTAAAATGTCTAGTTCTGTAGTGTGTTCTCGAAGTTCACTACATTTCATTTAGGTCATTAACTTTTTAAAAGCTTGAAATAAGCCAACCTATATCAGTGGTGTTCCATTAGATCTATCACATTCATTATTAATGCAATATTAACCCCCATCAGCATTGGTCTTGCACTGTGTCTCTTTTCACTTGTTAAGTATCATTTTCAAGTTACCTGAAACATTATTCTTTTATTGACCTCATGCTGGTGTCTAATTACCTTTTCCACTTCACATTGTTGTGAGCTATTTGTGTCATTTTACTACCTCATAAGTTTAACTATTTTTAAAATTAAAAAATTTTTTCCCCATCACCATTTATCCCCCCTATACCCTCCTGCAGCTTCACCCCTCACCCCCATTCCCTGCAATCACCAGATGTTGTCCAACTTCTCTCTAGAATATATCTAAAGGTAGAAAATTTTTTCCTTGCTGATCATTTTACACGGAGATTTCTAAACTAATGACATTAGCTTTATGGGAACACTATGTGTACATGGAATGTCTCAGGCTTTCTGTTTAGTTTATCATTACGATTTTCTTCATGTTTCCACATATATTTTCTGTAATTCTTCTCTTATTAAAAATTATTAATAATTTTTCTCTTATTAGCTAACTTATTAGACTTTTGTGTGTACTTTAGTGGGTTACTTCATTTTAACAAAGGATACTGTTTCAGAATTCCAAATACATCATCAAAGCACTTCAATCCTAAGAGGTGGAAAGAGGAGGTGTTGGCTGGTTGATTAATTGGTTTTTCCATTCTTTCCTTACAGTGAATTGTATTTTGATAATTGAATAAATTGATAGGATGACTATTTTTATTTTATAATTTTAAATAATATAAGAATGTACCATTGATTTAATAACCTGCCTTAAATGAATAATGAAGGGCTTTGTTTGATTTTATTGCAGGATGGAGTGGTTCTTGTTCATTGTAATGCAGGGGTTTCCAGGGCAGCTGCAGTTGTAATAGGCTTCCTGATGAATTCTGAAGAAATCTCACTTACCAGTGCTTTTTCTTTGGTGAAAAATGCAAGGCCTTCCATATGTCCAAATGCTGGCTTCATGGAGCAGCTTCATACATATCAAGAGGGCAAAGAAAGCAAGAAGTGTGACAAAATACAGGAATTAGAAGGGGACAGCAATTCATGAGTTACATTCTAGCCGATGATGGACAATAGTTTCTGAGTTGGCCTCTATAACCACCTTTTCCCTTTTTGGGAGAGTAAACTAATAAAAACTTTTTCTCTTGCTTTTTTTTTTCTCCCCCGAGTGAAAATAGAGGTCAATTGATTGTCCTAAGCTAGCATATGAACAATTTAAAAAATTATATTATGTTTTCTTTGGTATTATAATGTGTGAGTAAATGCTTCTTTGATTAGCTAGGGGAGAATAACAATGTATTACCAATAATTGATTTCTGTAGAAGAAAAAAGCTTAAATTTAAAATCTATGTTAGAGTATGGAAAGATTAAATCAGTTGGTTAAGACTTTTCTATTCCAGCAACTGTATCCATGAAGGAAGAAACCTGAAATGTTACCATTTCAGAAGGAGATAAATTTCTTTGTAAATAATTTAAGATTAAAAATCAATACCTTAAAACTTCCAAAATAGGTAACCAAAATGTGAAGGTTTACACAGTAGTTAATCAGTGGTTATAATATTCACAAAATTTTTAAGTCCTTTTGTACCCACTTTTCATTTTTATTTTTTAAATTTAATTATATTTTCTGCATTTATTTATAAGTTCTTGGGTAGATTTTCTCTCTTACATTATCATGAGCTTATGGTTCTATAATTAGGTGATCTAGTCTCTTACATTGTGTGCTTTTCACTCTGGATCCCTAGTATTCTGTTTTTGGGTCCCATGATAATATTTTTTACCTTCTTGGATCTGTAGGAAAATATTTTATACTTAAAAATCATTTTTTAGATGTCATTTGTTCAATATGTTTTCTAGTTCAATATTCTACTAGGAAACATAGCTTAAGGAAACAAGGGTTATGGTTTTATAAGAAATTTTAAATACATTGTTAGAAAGCCTAAAATTATTTACAATTTTACCTCTGGCCAGAGGCTTTGAATAGCTTCTTTTTTAAAAAATTAAGTCTCCATATTGGCAAGGCTAATCTCCACATTATAAATTTGCTTGAACATATTCTTTGACTTATTAAAAATAAAATATACTTAAAATTAATATAATAATTATGAAAGGATTTATTTAATAGCTTTCAAGTAACCTTTCATGACTTAGAAAATGTAGCCATTTAGATTTTTTTCAAGAAAGCCAACTCTTCTTAAATACAAATTATAGAGAGCTAGTATATTCCCACACATAAGTTGGAAAGTGCACATTGAGCACATCTGTGCATTCAAGAAAGCAGGCTTTCCTATGCTGTCAGGAGCAAAAAGTAGAAGTGATAAATGAGAATTATGTCTCGAGATTGCTTACAGCTTAACAAGATGCCATCACATGCAAAACTATGAACTTTGCTTCTGTTGAGAAGCAGTATAAATGTAATCAGCCTAGAGTGCGTTGTCTGAAGCCCAACCAACACAGACAGAAGCCTCTTAAAAACAAGACTGATGTATAATGCTGTGCCTGTAGTCAGTATTGCTGAGGGTTTGCAGGGTGAAGCTTTTCCATTCAGATGAAAACATTTATTTAAATACATTTTCTTTTTCAAGGTGCTGTTTAGTTTTCAGCCATTAAATGCTGTGACATGAAGCTTTGAGTAGAACTTGTTCACGGTGGATAGTATATTACTTATGTCTGTATTTTGTATGCTTAACTGTTGCCCGTAGTGATCTGGTTCTGGTACAAGCTCATATCTTCTGTATCATTTACAGAAGTGCTTTGAGCATCTATTTCATCTTATCTTAAATGATAGTAGTTTGCTGTATCTAAAATAGATCAATAAATATAATTCAGTCTTTTAAATTAGAGGTACATGTAAGGCAATGATGGGTCATATATATAGTATGTTTATTGTGTTTACCATGGATATAAGTCACTCTGTCACACCTCATTATTTATAAAAAGGGATGTTATCATTATAATTCTTTATCTCATGTATTATAAATTAAAAATGTATATCAAATATAGGTCTGTTTTGAGGGAAATAATTCAAGGTGTTTTTACCTCTATTTTAAAATAAAATTTTCTACCATTTTTTAAAGGAAAGAGGAAATGAAAATATCATTTGTTTTTAAACATTGAAAAAAAATATATAGAGCCTTCCTAGCAACCTGAGAAAGATGAGCAGAAAAAGGTACTGGGAAACATGATAAAATTCTATTTATTTGAGGTTAATATTTTTAAAATGTTTTGCTAACTTTATGCTTTAATATAGGTTTGAGATGACATATAGTTTGAATTAAAAACCAAGAAATATTTAAATTTTTGGAAAACTGAAGAAATCTTTTTCTTAGATTCTTTTGGGTAAAATTTAGACCATTATGTTAACGCAAAGATTTCAGAGGAGATGAAGTATTTAAAAATTGTTTTTGCAGTTTTACTTTTGCATTACTTCTTCCCTGTTGAACCTCAAATGAAATGTACGGATATGTATTGTGTAACTTAGGGAACATACTTCCATTCTGATTGATATTTTCAGTGGTGATGGGGAAAACCTCCTGAACTTGTCACATGATTATTAGTAACTCAAGTGGTTCAAATGTATATAGCAAGTCCCCCTCAACGGTAATTTCTCCAAAGATTCTTGAATGTAGCAAGTAAAAATCAAAGTACTGTTATAATCTTATCCAGTGAGTTAACTTCATAAGCAAAGCCACAATACATTTTAAAATAACAGAAATGTGGTGCAATGAATTATTTAGTTTTGTCAGGTAACCCTAAATAGTTGATTTTTCTGCCCAAGGGATCCTGAGCATATTTAGTCACCCAGTAGTTATTTAAGAATTTAAACCAGAAGATTTTAAAGTTTTCTATTCTTGTAGTATATACAATGGTATTTACAGTTAACAAGTTTATGGTTGTTTTTATTGGTATACTTAAAAAATAGGGTAAACTTTTCTATTTCAAGTGAAGCTTGACTTGTTTTGTATCCATATTTATAATGTATCCTTTACTGTTCCCAGGTATTGATATACTTAATTAAAATAATAAATTTACTATTTCCCATTAATTCCTTTATTTCTTTGAGGTTGTTTTAAAAGATTTAACACCTATTTGCTGTCAAATTCTAGGTTCAGAAATCTGTTGAAAGGATACAAAATTATACATTTCACAATGTAAATTAGTTTTAGTTCTATAAAGATTTGTTTGCTCCAGCCACTTTAAGAAATGAAAAGCTGCCCGGCTGTGTGTGGTGCAGAGGTTGAGCATCGACCTAGGATCCAGAAGACTGCAGTTTGATTCCCGGTCAGGGCACATGCCCAGGTTGTGGGCTCAATTCTCAGTTGGGAGCATGCTGGAGGCAGCGGATCAATGACGACTCTCAACACTGATGTTTCTGTCTCTCTCCCCCTCCCTTCCTCTCTCTGAAATCAATAAAGATATATTTAAAAAAAAAAAAAAGCTAAAGTGAGATCTTATAATTGGCATTACTGTGGATACATTGGCATTAAAAATTCAATAGAACATCCTAGTATTTTAAGTCAGGAGCAGATGCTGAATTACTCTCAGATTAAACTACTGACTATTCTAACCATGACAGCACTGAGGTTATTCGGACATCATCCAGCACCCACCTCCCACATACACACATCATTACTTCTCTGACCTACTCATTGCCCACTGCTTCCTCCCTCACTCTCCCCGTCTTAACCAACTGGCCTCTTGGTTTCGCAGTCCTTAAAAACATAATCAAGGCTCCACTTAATTACCTGCTCTTCCCTCTACCTGGGACAACTTTCCCCCGGAAACATCAATGTTGCCTTATTAGTACAGCCTTCCCTGACCACCTTATTTAAAATTGCTCCCATTCCTAACACTTTTACCCACCTTTCTTGTTTTATATATGGCATAGCCCTAATTATCACCAAAATCATGTGTATTTTACTTATTTTTGCCCTCATCAAAACTTGGGCTCCCACGAGGGAAGAGGTGTTTACTGCATTGCTTATCTATACCAGGTGCACCCTAACAAGCATTCAAAACTGCTTACTAGGAGGGAGGGAGGACGGGAGGAAGAAACTGAAGCACGCCTCCCCTAGTTATATACGTTTTGATGTTACTTTTTCACCTCCAACGGGCGATAAGGACCACTTAACTGATTAAAAGCTAACAGGTGAATCAGCAGCGAAACTGATGTGTCCTTTGATGTTTGGCCGCCCCCTTTCTGCCAGTTGTTTACTGTAATGAAATGATTAGGAAAAAACTCATGAGATTCCAAATGTAATATTTATTTTAATTTATAAAGACATATCTTTGGTCAATATTATTTACAGAGGTCAGATAGTGCAAATAACAACTAATGGATTTGTATTTTTTGGATATCATCCCTACAATCCTCCTGCCCTCGTGCCTCAGTCCTTTTGGGCTGTTATAACAGAATAGCATAGGCTGGGTGACTTACAAACAACAGAAATTTCTCTCCGAGTTCTGGAGGCTGGAAAGTCCAAGATCAAGGCACCAGCAGATCTGGTGTCTGGTGAGAGCCTGCTTCCTTGTTCATAGATGGTAGTCCTGTTGCTGTGTTCTCACATGGGCGAGGTGGAGGTGGTGGGGTGAGAGGACTCTCTGGGATCTCTTTTATAAGGGCACTAATCTTATTCTTGGGGGTTCCACCCTCATGACATAATCTGAAACTCCCACCTCCAAACACCATTATATTGGGGGTTAGGATTTCAGCGTATGAATTTTGGGGGACACCAATTGTAGGAAAAAGCCAGCAAACAACAAACAAACTCTAAAGGAGCTGGGTAGCAAACTTCCCCAGAATCGCAGAAATCCCCTTGAAAACGAGGGAGACATTTCTGATAGGAACTGAAAACAGATCCTTATAGATCTGGGAAGCTTGCCCCCAGGAGGGTTATGGCCTTAAGAACAAATGTGAAGCATTAGCACAAAACAAAGCCATTTGTTAATGCACATTTTATAGTTTCTACTGATCACTATCTTTCACACCTGCCTTTCTGTAACGCACAATAAAAATCGCTGGATGGTAAGGAGGGTTGTTGCAGCTCCTCCAGAGCCTCAACCCTCTCCATCTCCACCTAAATTCTGCATTCTCCGTGTCTTGAGTTTTCTTCGCGTCCCACGAGCACAACCACCAATATTCAGCCTGTAGCACCTTCCACCCTGAGAGATTCTGATTTTCCCCTTCCCTGCTGCTCAAGTGGATATGTATGTAATGTAATCATAAGTTATATAAATGTCTAATCACTGTTGTACAACTGAAACTAATATAACATTGAATGTCAACTGTAATTGAAAAATAAATTTAAAAAAGGGAAAAAATGTATGCAGTGTAATGAGGGTGTCATTGGTTGGAATGAGCTGCACGTGTGAATCTTGTGGAGCTGAAGAAAAGGAGGGAACAGGAAGCCCAAGAGGGCTTTTGGACACTTGGGTAACATGTACAGAGAAGGGAGTATTGGCTAGTGGTGGTTTAAATTTGGTGGGAGAAACTGACTGAACACAGGAAAATGTTAAGAGTTGACTGCAATTGGCTAGGAATTAAGTAGAGAAAGAACAGGACTTGGTATCTGAATGTTTGATGGCAGGGAAGGTGGGAGCCTGAAAAAGCAAAGTGGACTAGGCACTGTAGGTATTGTTTTTATTTAACAAAAAATGAAATCTACACATTTAATAGCAATCCAAGTAATACAGGATTTATGTGGGAAAGTTGGGCTCTAAATTCAGGTCTGTTGGACCTTAAATTCTGCTTTAACATACTGTGATTTTAATTTTTGGTTTCTAAAAGAGTAATGGCAAAGGGACAACTGGAAAGGGCAGACTTTGGGGGTAAGATTAGCTTGTTTTTGAAGACTGATGTGCTGGTAGGTGGTTCAGCAAGCATTTGGAAAAGTATTTGACTTTAGTGAGAGGAGGGGCATAGAATAATGGAAATTATTTTCATAGATGTGACAATTGATGAGGACTCCAAGAGAGAACATAAAGAATTGAGGAAGTGAGAGAAAACAAAGGCTTCACTAACAATAATATGCACAGGTTAGAATGAAGTGGGATCCGGTATGGAAAAGCTAGAGAAAGAATAGAAAGTTATGAAGAGAATAGGAAGTGTAGCATCACCAAAACCAAGGAAAGCACTTGTATATAGGAAAAGGTTGTCAAAGCGATTGAAGACACAGATGTCAAGGGTTCAGGCCTAAAATGGCAATTAGGAGAAAAATAGTCGGGGTCAGTAGTTTCAAAAGAAGACTTACACAGGAGTCAGTGTGTAATGAATTAATATACAAGATGGTAACGTTAGGGGACTAGACCATCTACTAAAGTCTGTAGACCTTCTTTTGAGGTCTAGAGAAAAAGAGAGAAGAAATGTGAAAGAAATTAGTGCATGGTAGCTAGAAAAAAGATCAAGTTCCAGTGAAGGTTTTTTGGTAGGACAAACTGGGCATCTTTATACCTTAATAAGGAAAGTGCCAGTTGAAAGGGTGTCAGTTTAAAGTGCAAGTGAAGAAAAGAAAATGACTTTATTAAAAAAAAATTTTTAACTTTAAGCGTACTAAAAATAGTAAATAACACCTATAATCAACCGCTAAGTTATGTAAATTAAAGGCCCTTCTTAAGCCCTCCAACTTACAAACCCCTCTCTTACTCCATCTTTCCTGTTAATCGTTTGGCACAAATGTTTTCCAACTTCTTACTTTATTTACATAAGCATCTCTCCTATCTTTATACTTTTAAAAAATATATATAACTTTTTATTGATTTCAGAGAGAGGAAGGGAGAGGAAGAGAGAAACATCCATGATGAGAGTCACTGACCGGCTGCCTCCTGCGCGCCCCCTGCTGGGGACCAGCCGCAGCCCCGCATGCGCCCTGGCGGGGGATGCAGAAGCCATCTCCTGGGCCCTAGGCCGATGCTCAACCCCTGGGCCACACCTCTGGGCTATACTTTTTTTTGTTAGATTAAAATGATGCCAGTCGTGGCCAGTGTGGCTCAGCTGGGTGAGCTGGTCTCAGGCACCCAGAGGTTGCCGGTGGGTTCTCCGGGGGCACGTGCCGGGTGTGGGCTGATCTGG